AGTACGTGCGGCTGCGCAGCTGTGAGTCTGAGGTGGTAGTCTGCAGCACTGGGGCCCCTCAGGGCACTGTCCTTGCACCGTTTCTTTTCACCATCTACACTTCAGACTTCACACACGACACACACAGCTGTCACCTGCAGAAGTTCTCCGACGACTCCGCCATCGTGTCTGAGGGGAACGATCTGGAATACCGGTCGGTTATCAAGGACTTTGTCGACTGGTGTGAGCGCAACCACTTGTGCTTGAACACCAGTAAGACCAAGGAGATGGTGATCGACTTCGGGAGAAAACCACTTTCCCACACGCTGTTGAACATCCAGGGGGAGGACATTGAGCTGGTGGACAGCTTCAAGTACCTGGGTGTTCACATTAACAATAAACTGGACTGGTCCCATGATACCAACGCCCTGCACAAGAAGGGCCAAAGTCGCCTCTTCCTTCTGAGGAGGCTGAGGTCCTTCGAAGTGAGCAGGCCTCTGCTCAGGACTTTTTATGACTCTGTGGTAGCTTCTGCCATTTACTATACTGCCGTGTGCTGGGCCCCGGGCAGCACCGAGCGGGACAGGAGCAGACTGAACAAGCTGGTCAGGAGGGCCAGCTCCACTCTGGGCTGCTCCCTGGACTCTGTGGAGGAGGTGAGGGACAGGGTGCTAACCAAAGTCACCTCCATCATGACCAACACCCCCCACCCACTGCACAGGACTGTAGAGGAGCTGAGGAGCTCCTTCAGTGGAAGACTGAGACACCCTCAGTGTAGGAAGGAGCGCTACCGCAGGGCCTTTATCCCCACCGCTGTCAGACTGTACAACAAGTCACGTTAAGTCACTGCATTAAGACTGAAAAAACCTGCACTACAATTGACACGGTTTCTTGATTGCCACTTTTTATTGTACATAATATCTTCTCTCTTCCGCCTCCGTCGAGCATAGACGTGTCTCAGACGCTCCTGCTTCTGACTGCTTGCTATCTCCTGTTTTTGTCTTTTTCCTGGAGTTTTGCCACAGACAACTTTTAGCAAGAATGGAAATGGTAAATTGGTCCCTCAACGCAATTGATTCTATCTTTTCAACACGTAAGCGTGGGTCTGGAGAGCCCGAGTGCCCGGACGGGACTTCACCGGCGGGGTATACGCTTGACAGCTGGAACAAGTGGCAGCCCCTCTGTCTGTCGACCCTGTCCATTGAAGATTCGGAAGACGTATATATCTTTGGCTTTTTGGTGGTGGGGATCCTCCTGTTTGGGTTTGGAGCGGTTCTCTTCTACCACAAATTCGGAGGCATGGCAGTTCGCAAGATTCACGCCCTGCTGGCCAACAAAATTGATGGCATGTACAAGGAGCTTAACCGAGTCGTGGTTGAGAGCGCTGTGGCTGGACAACGAAGAGTGGTGTTAGTGGAACAGTTGATCAAAGATCTCGCAGCTCGTTCACTCGATGGGCATAAAACTCTGGAATTGAGATTGAATGACATTGTGTGTCACGCTTGAACTCTCTGACCCGGCTTGGATTTGCCCCTGTGTACGGGGTCTGAGGGCGCCGTAATTCGGTTTAATTGGATTTAATAGAATATCTGCCTGTTTTTGACTGCTAAAATGCATACTATATTGTCCCTCGTTACAGGAAGATGTGTTTTCTCCTTGCTGTGTCTTCTCCCCACTCTTATCTCACATTCCTCGGGCCAAGGCCATAATAATAAATCTGGTCTCTACAACAATTCACACTCTTTCAGTCAGTGTTGCCAACTTAGCGACTTTGTCGCTAGATTTAGCGACTTTTCAGACCCCTATAGCGACTTTTTTTCAAAAAAGCGACTAGCGACAAATCTAGCGACTTTTTCTGGTGTTATTGGCGACTTATCTGGTGTTTTGGCGACTTATCTGGTGTTTTGGCGACTCGTGAAGCACGTATTGTTCTGCTGTCCTCAACGTGAGCCCCTCCCCCGTCCCAAAGCACTTACAGGCGGCCAGTCTCACAGTAGCCTTGCGCAGCAGTCCCAGCTACAGTCTATGGGCGGAGCAGAGAGAGAGAGAGGAGACTCAAAAGCACAGGAAGTTTTCAGGCTGCTGCAGACTGAACTTCAGCTCCACCACCACCACACATCCAAAGCTCCCCGGCCACTCCTACCACCGCCACCCCCCACTACCCCCCACTCCATCCGCGGCAGCTCTGTCCGTGACTCTGTTTTCTCTCAGTAGTGGGTCACATTAAATCATTTGTTATGCCAAACTATGAAAAAAAAAAAAAACTTACAAAAATAAACCTAAGTAACTCTGCCAGAGTGTGTCTTTTGGGTCACTTTGCCGGTCCCAAGCCCGGATAAAGGAGGAGGGTTGGTTGTAGAGCTAGCAATTTCACCCTACATAACAATCTTTTGATTACATTTGCTGTTATAACATTTAACAATACAGGACAAAACTGATGTGTGTAATGTGGATCTAGACAAAGCATTAAAATCATTAAATGTTGTTAATGTTGAAATTATTTTTGTACATTTGTAGTTCTAAACATATTTAGGGTGTTTTTACTCACTTTTGTCTCTCCCACGACCTTATTCCTCTCTCCTACAGCGTCCGTTACAGTTATTTGCAAATTGCAAATTATGCAAATTAGGCGATGACGTCATTTAGCGACTTCTAGCGACTTTTGGGACAGCCAATAGCTACTTTCCTTACTGAGGAGTTGGAAACACTGCTTTCAGTCAGTTCCAGCTTGGATCCCGCTCCCCCCGCCTCCCTCTGATCTCTCCCTCCCCTCCACTCCTCAATGTGTTTCCGACTCACCCCCTCCCTGACCCCGCCCCCCTCTGACAGCCACATTGGACCGGCAGCCGGAGGTGCTCATCCCGAGAAAAAAATCCGTGGTTTATACAAAGCACAATGTTTTCTATCCAACTGTCTGTTGTAACCTGAATGTTATTGCTCTCTGCTGTTTATTCTACTGTTTGTCGCATGGCGCCGGAAAGATGGCGCCGTGGCAAGAGCTCTGGTGTGTGTCGCCTTCTCTGTCTGGCGCACACCGGGGTAGTCTTGCACAGTTTTTCCAATGTGGTTTTACTGCAAATGGCAAATAAATGAATCTGAATCTGAATATCCTGCATTTAACATGTTTAAACATTTCTTTCTTTTTGCACAATGAGTGTTTCTATCCATGCCAGATGTGACATGTAAATTTCTCCTTTGTGAGATCAATAAAGTGTATCTTATTGGTTTTATTATCATATGTCTAAAGTATGTTATCATAAGAAGCATATTCAAAATTCCAGTACACTCCTCACACTCTGGCCTTTGAATGTAGCCTGTTGAAAGTCTGAAGTCTCCTTTCAAACTTCTTCAATGCGTCTCTGAATGAAACAAAAGATCATGGCTTCCCAGTGGCTTTGTATGAATCAAAAGTCATTTTTAGAGTAGCAATATGTATTTCCAAGAATTCATGTGATAATAGCTGCCAGAAATCCCTTTAATAAAGCTCATTTTGGGTAGTTTGAATAGAGGTAATAATCTGCCTAAAATTCGGTGCCACACGTTGCTAGAATTTCACAGTTATTTCATCATTTGCTGAGATCTAACCTATCTTTATCATCCCCTCTCAGCAGTATTAGCACCATGCAGTGTCATCACATCACACAGCAACCTTATAAAAATGCCGAACCTTGAAACACCTACCCCATGGCAATATCGTCATATTTCATTACTTTGGAATTATTTTACAGAACCTCACAAAGAAAACTAAGTGTTGCTTGTGCAGCCTCCAAAACGACTTCTTGTTCCACGTGCGACCCCTTGTGGTTTGATTTGGAAATATCTGTGGAGGGAGGACTCATTCCCATAAGAGGATTAATATAGTTTAACGTAACTTTAAATGTATTGGGAGTCTCTTATTGTGAACTTCCATAAGAGACTCGAAGAAGTGTAAGGAAATCTTGTAAACAATTAAACAATCCAATGGGTAAATGTTGAATGTGAGGAATAGTAATAATATGAAACCTGTATTAATAATAATAATAATAAAATCGGTTTTATATAGCGCTTTTTTGGACACTCAAAGACGCTTCACATGTGTCATTATTCATTCACTCCATACACGGTGGTGATAAACTACTAATGTAGCCACAGCTGCCCTGGGGCACACTGACAGAAGCGAGGCAACCAGTATGTGCCATCGGCCCCTCTGACCACCACCAACCATTCACACACACACCAGACTCATTCTAGGCAATGGGGGTGAAGTGTCTTGCCTAAGGACACAACGGCAGTTGGCACTTTACAGCTGCAGCCGCCCCACTGTGGCTGGTGTTCCCAGAGGTTAAGTGTCTTGCCAAGGACACAACGACAGTAGTCAGTGGGAGTCGATGGTGAAAGTCTTGAGCGGGGCTTGAACCCACGACCTTCTGGCTCAAAGGCCAACGCTCTACCAACTGAGCTACTGCCGCCCGTATTAACAATGATGAAAATAATAAATCAAAAAACCAATAACAAATGAGTATAACATGACATTTTCAAATACATTTTAATCGTTTCAGCTGATTGTCTGCCTTGGGATACTCACACTGTAAGGCACCAGACAACTCAACAATATTGGGAAACACCGCTGCCAGAAAAGACAAAACACACACATACCCCTTCACATAAATTGATTATTTATATATATATATATATATATATATAAATAATCTTTTTAAAGATTGAATAGGTCAGGATAATATTTTGTTCTCTACTTCTCAGGCGCTCTGTAGTTTAGCTGAGTCGGGCTGTATGATCCCCTGCAGTTGCTTTAAATCAACATTTCTAAAAGTAAAAGTAATCTTAATAAACACTTGGTTGCAAAGTAAAACTATCTGTAAAGAGGTATTTTACATTCAGAAGTATAATAACAAAAAACAACCTGGAATGCTATTTGGCAAATTTTAAACATAATTTTAAACATATTTAATGAATGTTTCAGCTTTGGCTATTCTTCAGGTTTCCCACAAGGGCAAAGCAGCAGTAGAACACGGCAGAACTCTTCAGTTCTTTAAAAACTTCGGGACAAGCCAACCGAAATTTGTTGACTTGTTCTGAGTGACGAGGGAAGCTGACTTCTGGGGCCTCTGCGGCAGCATTTGCCCTTGATGCATTTTGGCCTTCAGCACGGCCTTCTCCTTCATGGCCAGCAAAGAGTCGATCCGCTCTGCCCAGCCCGGTTTGGCTTCTGACCGCTCCGCTTTGATCAGCATCTCGATGTACTCAGGGGCGGAGAGCGGGTCGGGCTTCAGGGCAATCTCCTTCAGACGGTTCAGACACCGGGAGGACTTATCAATGAGTTGAGTCACTTCCAATTGTACCTGAATCACAAAGTGAAACAATTAACAAATTAATTTCAATTTCAGAAGAACAGTACAGACTTTGCATCTGCTTTCATTTACACAATAGAGCATAGAACCCATTTGCCACTCTGGCAAAATTATAAGCTGCGTTTTCATTAAGCATCAGAATATGTTTATTGTTGTCCAAATCTCATTTGGACAACAATAAACTCAATTTCATGCATGTTTTTGTGTGTTGTGATGAAGGTTGAGATGGGTGTGCATTTACGCCACCTCCAGAGTCTGTATATTCTGTGCGTATCATACACTCACTTCCAGATAAATTTTGAAAAGTGTGCATTTTTTCCGTACGCTTCATTTACACCCTGATTTGGCCGTATGCAAGTTTTATAAATGAGGGCCAAAGACTCTACATGTTTTCTATCTCAACATTTCTTGTGTTTGATTTTCTGATCTTGGGAAGGGAATCAACAGTTTTGTAAAGTCCTCAGAGTTGTGAGGACTCTGAGGACTTTACAAAACCTAATGTTATGATTTAGGGCTAAACAAAAATTCATTTAATTTTATTTTTAGTTTTGGTAGAAGCGGCTTTGTCACAGGAAAAGAGTTTCGGATTTTACCCCATCATAATCGTTCTCCAATTTGTGGAGCAGGGCCTCGCCTGAATTCTTGGCATCCTTGGCAATGTCATACTTATTCTTCAGATCTTGGATGGTTTCGGTCTTGGTCACCAGATTATATTCCCATTTGTATTTCTGGTTGAAGTGCACGCTCCAAATGCAATTGTTGGGACACACTGTGCATTTGCCGTCTTTGCCCATGGCACAGCACTTGATTTTATCTGCGTCGTTGGCGAAGGCACAGTTGTCATGGCATGTGTAGTGGCACTGCTGACAGTTAGTAATGAAGATGCCTTTCCCGGAAATGTCCACCTGGGCGGAGGGGAGGAAAATATAATGAAAAATGAATTATAATGTAACTGATGTTTTGAAGACAATTTTAAGGAATAAATGTTAAGCATTATTTGTGTTGATTTTGACTATGTATGAATATATACATGAATATGTATTAAAATTTAAGATAGTAGACTCATGACTCAGGACTACATGAGAACATGGACCAGTGGACTCATTTCTTCACTGCATCCAACAGATCAGGGAGTGGAAGCAAAACTACTGCAAAACCAGGAAGTATGACCACATTAGCAAAGTTCTCAGGTCTCTGCACTGGCTCAAAGAAGAGACTTTTAAGAAGCAATACTTTATAGTCTCTCTCCATGGCCTCGCACCAAAGTACCTCCGTGACATGTTGCCAACTCGGACTCTGAGGAGCACAGGGACTGGCCTCCTGCTGGTGCCCAGAGTCAGAACTAAACATGGGGAAACTGCATTTCAGATTCATGCAGCTAAAATCTGGAACATTGTCAGAGAAGAAACCTGTCTAACATTTTCAGGAACGATGTCCAAATCCAGGTAAAAGCGGTTCTGTTTAGTTGTGCATACAGCGGAGAAGTTTTATTCGTACTCTTTTTAATGTCCATCCAGCCATCCATTTTCTTCCGCGTCATCCGTTGCCGGGTCGCGGGGGCAGCAGTCTAAGCAGAGACGCCCAGACTTCCCTATCCACACACACTTCCTCCAGCTCGTCCGGGGGGACCCCAAGACGTTCCCAGGCCAGCTGAGAGACAGTCTCTCCAGCGTGTCCCAAGTCTTCCCCGGGGCCTCCTCCCCTCTTTTTAATGTATGACTATTATATATTTTTTGTGTTTGTCTTGTGTTACTGTTTCTATCTTTTTTTGTTCAGCACTTTGACTTGCCGGGTGTCTGAACTGTGCTATACAAATAAATATACCTTGCCTATGAGGAATATATAATAATGGATAAAGGAGCTGCTCTAACACCTCAGCACAGTGGCTCTGTACCTGTGAGGCCTCGGACACCGTGACACTGAACTTAAAGTTTTTGTTCCTGCTGATCTCCGCCTTGTGAGTCTCCACAATCTGTGACGTCTGTCGTATCTCCTCCAGTTTGGACAGGCCCACCTGCACCTGTGGCACACGAAAAGAGAAGGATACATAAAAAGGTTGTTTGTCATTAGAAAACAATTATTTTTTTGTCAAATGTTTGATTCATAGATTGTGTGATATTCTGTGGAGAGTACCATGGGTTCTTTATTAAGTGATAGATTCCTAACCCGCATGGCTCGCAAACATCCTTAATGTTGACCTCTACAGATAGCAATAATAACTGGGTGTGTTTATGATGAGGAACAATGTTGGAACGGAACAAGTTATACAGAAGATATGCTTTAAAGTGCAGACACTAAACATTGACTCCCATGCTTTTGTTTCAGTTCAGCACACACCTGTTTGCGGAGGTTCTCCACCAGGTTTTCTAGCTGCTTCCGCTCAGACAGAACTTCTGTGGTCATAGTCAGACTTTTGGTTTGGATCTTGCTTAGAGCCGTGAAGAAACGCTTCATGCTTTTGTTTCCCATGTTCCAGAACATTAAATCGAAGCCGTCTTCGTCATCATCATCATCAGCCGGATTCTGTGCGGACCCTAGGTGCCAATAGAGACCAAGTAATTGCAATTGTTAATAGTCCAGATTGTTGTGAGTTAGTGTCACATGCCTAGAATAGTGTTGAGATGCGTTCTGAACTCCAAAAGTCATACTTTGAGATCAGAGACTTTATAAAATTTATTATTGCATTGAAATAGATTCTCAATACTACCTGCATTGTTGGCAAAGAGTGCAGAGTTGTTGAACTTGAAGTGCACCGGGACGCCCTTCTCCACAGGACATGGCACTTTGGACGCAGTGATAGCAGCCAGCACAGGGGGTGGCTGTCCATCTGCAAACGTCACCAGCACGCGGATGTTTTCAGCAATGTCTTTGCCAAAGATGGAGAGCACAGAGTCGAAGATGTAACTCTGCGTGGGAGTGAGGCGAGCGAGGGACGCCTGCACCACAACGCACACGGCATCTATGTCTACCACGCCGCTGCCAGAGGTGAAGAGCGCACGCAGCTGCTCTGTGATCTCCTGGTCCCTGTCAATACCTCTGGAGTCCCCGAAGCCCGGAGTGTCCAAGATGGTCAGCGAGTGCTTCACCTGCAGCAGACCAATACATGTTTGGCCAGAATCACATGAAACAAGACTTTCAACTTCCACTGCAAACAAGCCGATCCAAACAAGGAAGCCAAGGGAATGCTTTTCTGCCCACACTTACAACATAATATTCAACACATTGGTGACCGATTTTCTCACTTTGAGTTTCAACACAAACTAAGCTGTTTTATAATTTTTTTACTTGGCCCTCAAAGAGAGTTTATCATCCCAACTAGGCAGGAACACGCCAGACGACGCCCGTTTCCTCTATTTTCAGGATCAGTTATTCTTATTGCCAGCGTAAGTAACAGGAAGTTACAAACTAGGAATTTGCTTTGGAATAGATTGAGAATAGATAAAAAAAAGTTTGCATACCAAATAAACACCTTTAACAGTGCAGATAATGGGTAAGTGACCACAGGTATGATAATATAAAGTGACAATTGTAATGAGCTGGGATTTCGTAATGAGTGTTAATGACTCCAACTGCAGAAGAGAAGAAAGTGTTCTTAAGGTGGGCAGTTCAGGTCCAGATGCTTCACAGAGGCTGGAGGTGCAGTGGTTGGTTTACAGGAAGAAGAGCATTGCAGGTTAAGATGGAATGAAAACCTACAGCCACAGGGCCCTTTGAGGACAGAGCAGAATACCCCTGTTGTGTGCATGTTTGTATTGTTTCTTTCTAACCACTCGTTGTGCACGTAAAGTACTTTGGGCATCTGGTGCAGCTGTAAAAACGATTGAAGTCAAAATAAGTAGTGAAGTAAGTACTGACTTGTCACAGCCAACCAAAGAGATGATACGGTGGCATCTCTGCCTGAAGACATAATGGTTTAAATTCGATATGATGTACTGTAATACCTGGAAGCCTTCTTGGTAGTTGAGCTTGTAGACCGTGACCTCGGACGTCTGGCTTTGGGCTTGCGTTCCCCTCTGAATTTCTCGCACCAGTCTGAAGCGGAAGCTATCATTCCAGCGCACGCCCAAGATGTAGTTGATCATTCCATCAATGAGTGTTGACTTTCCGGCACCGGTCGCTCCCATCACCAGGATCGTGCGGTTTGGATGCGCAGATTCTTCCCCGAACCGAAAGCGTCTGCACCCACGGACTTTGAGCTTCTCGTCCACCAGAGGAAGCTGGTACACTGGCATGGCCCACGTATTTGACTGGAACAGGCTGCTCTGGGACTTAATCTTTTCAGCCAGGCGCATGGGGGGAAGTGGGCCCTTGGATATTATGTCATTAGACGGATGATCAATTGCCATGGCTTCTTCAGACATGTTTGTGGATGGTTGATGAAGTCACTGCTTAACCTGATAAAAAAAAAAAAACATAAGTTTGTGGAAACTTTCGAGAATTTACAAATATCTCTAAGATTCTGCTAAACTTAAGGTGCTGGGTTCTGTTCTACCTCCAGACCAAAGGTGCTGGGTTCAGTTCTACCTCCAGACCAATCGGTTTGTGTGGAGTGTATAGTTTCTCCCTGGGGGTATGGGAGAGCCCCAGCTAACAGGTTATGGGAGTACAGCAGTTCTAGTAACAATTTATTGAATTAGGCCTCTTCTTCGTCCTTGTTCTTAAACAATTTTCTGTTTATTATGTATCACGTTTATTTGATTTCTTGTTGAATGTATATACAGAAGTTTGAAAATAATACATTTTTAAAAAGGTTATAAAAAACATACATTTGTTTGCTTATATTAGTTCTAAAAAGATACATATATCTTCATTGAAGTTTGAATTTCTATGCTTAGTTCTGGGTTCATCCACTTCCACAATGGTGTCCTCTGCTGCTGCACATCCCAAGCCCTGGAGCGTCTCATTTGAAGTATTGTTTACTTTCCTTTTCTACTAATTTCCATTATTTTTCAGCTCAGCTCATGCTCCCTTCCCGCCCCCTGCTTGACTGAGTTCGGAATGGTGGACATGAGGAGGGGAGGAGACAAGGGTGAAGCATCTTTGGGATGTACCCCTGGACGTAACCTGATCTAAAATATTAAAGTTAAACATTAAATACATGTTTTGATTCAGCTTCAATTTATTTGCCATTTGCACTAAAACCACATTGGAATACATGTGCAAAAGCACCTTAGTGTGCACCACACAATTTATAATAATACATCGGTTTTATATAACACTTTTTTGGACACTCAAAGACTCTTCACGTTATTATTCTTTCACTCCATACACAGCGGTGATAAACTACTAGTTCAATTCAATTCAATGTATTCTTGTATAGCCCGAAATCACAACAGTAGTCATCTCAGGGCACTTAACAAAACCGTTGAAAAAAAGGTCAGAGAATCAAATAGTTGAAGCACAATAAAATAGAACACATAGGTATTGGTCCATACGGAGAGACCAATGTCCATGAATGTTGAGTGTCCTCGACCATGACCACAGACCCTCCTGCATCAGCAAGGAAAAACTCTAAAACCCAGTGGGATAAAAAACTATTAATGCACACATTGACAAATTTAAACCATATTTTTTACAGATATGGCAAGTATAACCTGTAATCTCGTACACAGAACCAGCTCAAACAGACTTACCAACAGGACTTCAGGAAAAGTCTGCATATTCTAATATATAGTAAGTAATGTTTATTTATATACCGCCTTTCACAGACAGAGTCACAAAGCGGTTTACAATTGTTATTTTTGGGCACTTGTCCTCTCACTCCACACATAGATGGGAGCGGGGTCGCCGAACAGGAGGCGCATGCCAGACCTATTGTACATGTTTTTAGTGGTAGGGGAAACCGGAGTACCCAGAGGAAACCTACGCAGACACAGGGAGAACATGCAAACTCCACTCAGAAAGGCCCTGGTCCGACCGGGATTCGAACCCAGGACCTTCTTTGTTGAGAGGCGAGAGTGCTAACCACTCAGCCACCGTGCCGCCCGTGACTCAAGTTCATATACCATAAACTTGAGTCACTAGTATTCAAAATGCAATTACTTTTACACAAAAACATGATGGTATTTGATCTTTAATATGTCTTGAACTGTGATAGTTTGAAAAATCACACAACATGAAAGTATTCCAAGCATTTGGAACACAGTACTCTGAATTATATAATGGAATAACACATGCAATTAAAATAGATTTAAAATGCAGGTATTCAGTCTTTAGTTGCTTAATATAATGTGCGTGGCCAGCAAAAGAATGTTAAAGACAGTTGAATGAAAATATGGTAGAATTAATATTATATAAATGCATAAAAGTATAGTTACATAACAATAACTGGAAATAAACTCCAAGTCCAAGTACTCACCTTTGTGTACTGGTTTGGAGACAGCAGCACAGACTGTAGCAGCTGAAGTGTGATTAGGGAACAACTTGACACAGCTTATAAAGGGAGGGAAAGGAGCTGAGGGGGAGGAGCTCGGGAGAGGAGAGGGAGAAGAAAGAATGTTTAATCTGAATTATAGTGCAGGGATTTTTTTATATTCCTGTCTATATTTTGCAATATTGTATTATTTTCTCTCTTTTGACTTTGCTCCAACATTGTACTCATGCTTTTACACAAAACAATACCACAAACATAGGTCAATATGAAAATCACAATTCTAAATTGAGGCATTTATGCAAAAATGCTAACAAATCCACATGCAAGTGAATAAGAGAATGAATGTGATCCTAATATAGTTGCAGAGTGCAGGAGACAGATCTAACTGCAGATGTATGTTCATGGAGCCAAGGGCAGTTCTGTGAAGACCAGGCATTTACTGGAAATGATCAGGGGTCTGTGAGGGGGGGGTCGAGTCTGTCCAAACGAAAGTGAAAGCACTTTCTGCAGCACTGACCTCAGTGCTATCTGCTGTTTATGAGGAGAAAGGAGTCAGGGAAAACCAAAAGAGAAATAGGGCAGAGCATGAACAACAACCAAATGTTTATCAAAGTCAACCATCCATTGCTTCTTTAAAAATAATACACTTCATCATAACAATGTATTTTTGCTTTTTCGGACACTAAAAGGCGCTTCACATGTCACATTATTCATTGAACAACCATTCATGCACACATCAGACTCATTCTAAACAATCTTCTGATCAACACATTATGTTTTACTTGAAATCCTTGATTTGAAGATTAATGTATGGCTGATTGTCATAGTTTAGTTAAAACAAATATTGACAAATATTATTTTAAGACACATCTAGAAAAACATCCATTTGTAAGTGAATCAAATCATAAACATGATCCTAATATTATTAAGAGTTGCACAGTGAGTGAAGGAGACAGCTTTGACTGCAGATGGTTCATGGAGTTCACAGAGCTCATGCAGTTCAGTGAAACCAGCCATTTACTGGAAATGCTCAGGGGTCTGAGAGCGGGGGCAGGAAAACTAAAGTGAAAGTATTTTCTGTTGCTCTCAGGTCTGTCTCCTTTGTTAGAAGAAATGATTAATTAAATTCATGCAAGTTTGGTTGATTGATATTGTTGGAAATTCTGCACATACCAAGAGTAAAATAATGTAAACAACCCAGAGCTGTAATTCCAAACAAAGTGTGAGTTTATTCATTAGTAAATGTGCACAATTACAATGAATAACAGAACCGATACCAATACCACCGGGCAGCCGTCCGAAATCGACTGCCACGATTGAGGAAATGACTGTACATTAAATAGACCAGAGTAAACAAACACATATCTACTCTAGATATTACATAAATGAAGTCAACATTGATATGTGTTGCTCAAGGCTTCTCTTTACGCCTCCTAACGCTGATACAACTCTGATATATGTAACAATCTGCTTTTGAACTGAACATATTGTTCTATGACCCAGGTCAAAGACATGATGCAGCACGTCTCCATCTATCACTGACCTGCTGCCAACAGAGCATCATGGCCTGTATCTGAATCCAGAGTTCACTGTTAGTTAATAACTTACACTCATAACTATTTGGTGTTAATTCAGGTTGCTTTACTAAAATATTTCTATAACAATACATTTCAATCCAATTAGATTCCAAGTAAAATGAGTCAAATCTATAACAAATCATAGTCGTATTTGCTTGGTGCCACCATCTGTTCAGCAAAGGACGATTCATTTTTCAGTAAATGCACTGAATCTCCTCCTGATCTGCAGAGATCAGGAGGTATGAACTCACTGCACTCGTGGTGAAAGTGAAAGTAAGAGCTGCAACATAGTATGAGAATTGTTTCTTTAAATACATAATTTCAAGTTATTTTCTTCTACCACTGCCTTTGTCTGAGGAGTTTACCTTTTCCTGGAGCCTGGAATATGTACAGTGTGTAAAGTATTCGGCCCCCTTGAACCTTTCAACATTTCAGGCTTCAAACATAAAGATATAAAAAATAATTTTTTTGTCAAGAATCAACAACAAGTGGGACACAATCGTGAAGTGGAACGAAATTTATTGGATAATTTAAACTTTTTTAACAAATTAAAAACTGAAAAGTGGGGCGTGCAATATTATTCGGCCCCATTGCGCTAATATATATAATCTTTATTCCGGACTCAGGGTCCATACAAGAGACAACACAAGGACACCACAAGACACAGAAACATAAAAAATAAAATAGCAAAGTCTAAGGACTCATTTACAAAGACACTTGTACCAGTGTTCCCAGAACTGAGAAATATAGCGTGTTGTACTGAACTTGGCATTCACCAAAACAACAACAACCAGGTTCACAGACTCGTTCAATCGGCGAATAAAACTAAACATTGCATTTCTCAGGACAGACTTCAGTGTGTTCACTCTGTTGCTCACGAACAACTCACTCGCTCGAGTCGATCTGGGCTTCTTTAACAGCATCCTGAGAGTGTCATTGAAAGCTACCTGCAGCTTCTGAAGAGTAGCTTTTTTGTAGTTCAACCACAGATGTGCAGAGTATAAAGGAGAGCAGTAAGCTTTAAATAAGGTCAACTTCACTTCAACAGTGCAGCAACCAAATTTACGCACCAAAGCATTCGCCCTTACATACAACAAACGATACTGCCGAATAATGTCCTCATCATCTGTGAGCCGATCTGTGATCAGATGGCCAAGATATTTAATTTCACTACAGATATTAAGAACCTTTCCAGCAAGTCGAAAAGCTGGAAAGATTAAATGTCTGTCCTCTGTGGTTCTGCAGATCATAATGGCACTTTTGGAATCATTGTACTTTACATCATGATTTTCCCCAAACACTGAACATATACTAAGAAGTTGCTGCAGACCAGCTGAGCTCGGACTAAAAATGACACAATCATCTGCGTACATTAGATGGTTCAGCATTGTGCTGCCGACCATGCAGCCAGTTTTACATGAGTTAAGACTATGAGATAATTCATTCATATAAAAATTAAATAAAATTGGGGATAAGATGCTCCCTTGTCTTACTCCATTACTCACATGAAAGGGAGCAGACAAGCAGCTGTCCCATTTCACTTGCATGGTCTGTTGGGCATACCAATATGACAGGATTCTGACAATGTATTGAGGGACACCTGCTGCAACCAATTTCTTGAATAGTTTCCAATGATTCACTCGGTCAAATGCCTTAGACGCATCTAAGAAACACATAAAAACAGTTGAGTTTTTGCTCCTATAGTTGTTTAAAAGTTCCTTTAGGACATAAATACACAGATCCGTAGAATGTTTTGGTTTAAAACCGAACTGATTATCTGTAGAAGTAATCAGTTCATTTATCCTCTCTAGGAGAATTAGTTCCACAACTTTGGATAAAATATTAGCTAAAGCTATAGGTCTATAGTTATCAGAGGAGCCCACTTTTCCTGCTTTATCTTTAATTACAGGAGTCAGTGTCACAGACATCATTAAATCTGGGAGATAGCCATGGATCATAAAGGCACTGAAACAGAGTGCTAGTAACATACACAGCTTTGGGCTTGCATGTTTGAGATGTTCAGCAGAGACAGAGTCTGGGCCAGTTGATTTATTAGCTGCCAGGTTAGAAATGGCTTTAGAAACCTCATTGTATGTGATTTCCTCAATAAAATCAACACTGCCGGCTTCAAAGCGTTTGGTCTGGACACAATTAAACAGTTTACAATAATGCTTACGCCAGAGCTCAGCAATTGCATTTGCACCAGAGACTCCATCTACTGAACATGGCAGTGAAGGTTTGCAATTATTTGTACGTTTCACTTCTTTCCAAAAATCATTGTTTGTGTTATCTAAAAGTCTGTTGGCCATAGACTCTGCCCTCAGACGCTGCTCATTCTTACATATGAAACGTATTGCATATTTACATTTGGCATTTGTGCTCTTCTTATGTTCAAAAATGGGCCCTTGTCTTGGCTTTCCAGCTATAGCCCATGATCTAGTGGCTTCACGAGCCTCAGCATAGAATTCAGCCACATAATCATTCCACCCAGGCAGAGTTTTTCCTCTCTTCTTATGCTTAAGGAAAGGCTTACTAGCTTCAAGTAAAGCAGAGACAATTGCGCTATACAAAGTAGAGATATCAGTGCTATGTTCACGCTTTGAACAATTACCATCTTTGCACAGGAGGGCTTCTTTAGGGATGTATACATTACTCAATAATTGATCAGTGTAATCATAGTAAAATGACAATTCTTCACATGTCAAAGAGGACCAATCTAAGAAGCCCTGTTTTGGATTATTATTACATTTTATAGTTGAAGGTATGCTGTCAAACTTGATCACCATTTTAACAGGAATGTGATCAACAGTGGAGAAGTCATATAAAATTTCCATATGTGCCAAGGATGCGTGGGCATCTGATGTAGAGAGGCAATGGTCTAGCCAGGATGTGGTATGCCAGGCCTCACTTATATGGGTATAACTATCAACAGGCAGGAGCTCTCTGCTGGACAATATTAGATTATTATCAGAACACAAATGATTAAGATGTTTAGCAAATGCTGACCTGTTGTCTGAGATATCGGCATTCATATCACCAATAATAAAAACATTTGAAAAACATTCGTTTTGTACATAAGAACTAATGAATGCAAGCTTATTTACATAATCTTCTTCATTTTGATGGCATTCATATGGAGTGTAAATATTTAAAATGACACATTCCTTATCATCACGTATCAGGCGTACAGCAATGCACCAGTCCACTCCAAGCCTGACTACATTTATCGCTGGGTCCAGCTTCTTATTCCATAGAATTGCCACACCTCCTGGGATTCTGCCCCTTATTATCCCCAGGCTGAGGTCAGTGGTGGACTCTCCAGCACCATGAAAACTGTCATTTATGGAGTTCAAACCAGACAAATCCTGCATTGCGAGGAATGTTTCCTGCAGGCAGAGAACGTCACACTGCTCCAATAACTGATCAACAATAAAACGGCGAGCCTTATCCTCCGCGGTTTGGCCCAAACGCAGGCCACGGCAGTTGTAGGATAGGACGCGTATATCCATAGTCAATAGTAAGCATGCCTATTCCTCGCTGTTTTCATTGCCATTCAGAGCTTGGGCAGCAGAAGCACTAGCGCGGCTAGAGCCAGGACCAGAGCTACCTGTAGCTGTAGCTTGTTTCCTCCGAGGTTCATAGTATCTCCTAACAAACACACCAGCTGGCCAGAGTTCGGGCACATACATGTCTTCAACTTCATTACATTCCGCCGTTATATGGAATGAGCTGAATCTCCCGTGCGCAGACTCAATTTTACGGCATTGAACAACCCGGCCCAGCTTCTCACTCAAGTATTCCTTGAGCATGTCAGCTTCCAAACTTGGATCAAACTTAGTTGCAAAAACACTCACCAGTTTAGTCCTGATGGCGCATATGTTTGATCCGGCTCCTGTTCCAACTATGCCCGGGGTTTTACGCTCGCGTCTGGAAGAAGGCATACGTGGCTTTGGACCACTATTCTTAGGATCCAATGCTTTCTGTCGGCGTCCTTCCCGCACGACGAGGCTCCAAGCTGGGGAAGACGCCGACTCTGCTGCTGGTGGCGCAGAGCGCGCCGGGCGTGCAGGACTCTCCTGCAATGCGCCACCGCTGGAGTGCCGCTCAGCTCCGGTGGTGGGTTCAGGGACCCCACTGTGATTCTCCATTACAGTGACGCGGCTGTCCAAGCAGGCCGTAACCGCGCGTATGCTTTCGAAAGCGCTGGTTTGTTCCTCCATGGACTTTTTCATACACCTGACATCAGCGTTTAGTTGCTCCATCCGGGCCAGCAGTGCAGATGCATCGATGTGGTTAAATGAAACAGGGGGCAAGTCGTCCAGATAATGTGACACAAATCTTGGTATATTGTCCCCACACTCATTAATGACTTTCATGCAAAGTTTCACATTATTGATGTCCTTAAGTGCTCCTTTGTGCATAACGCAGCGTTGCGAGGACCCTGGGCAGACCTCGAACAAGACTTTCTTGGAGGCCTCAATGCGCTCAGAGCTGAAATTGTTTGTAACCAGCATTACAATTTCATCATGACACATTGTCCTCATTTTCACCACTATAAAATTCAAAAGTTCATCTTCAACGAGAACTTTACCATCGTTGGATTTGAATATCTCCGGTTTTATTCGTGAGAAGGCATTACCAGCCAAGCGGTGCATCTCATCCGCCGCCATGACAGATCCGCCATGACTGGCGGATCTGTCTACTTTACTTACTTAATACTTTGTAGCGCCACATTTTTCTGCAATTACAGCTGCAAGTCGCTTGGGGTATGTCTCTATCAGTTTTGCACATCGAGAGACTGGAATTCTTGCCCATTCTTCCTTGCAAAACAGCTCGAGCTCAGTGAGGTTGGATGGAGAGCGTTTGTGAACAGCAGTCTTCAGCTCTTTCCACAGATTCTCGATTGGATTCAGGTCTGGACTTTGACTTGGCCATTCTAACGCCTGGATACGTCTATTTGTGAACCATTCCATTGTAGATTTGGCTTTATGTTTTGGATCATTGTCCTGTTGGAAGATAAATCTCCGTCCCAGTCTCAGGTCTTTTGCAGACTCCAACAGGTTTTCTTCCAGAATGGTCCTGTATTTGGCTCCATCCATCTTCCCATCAATTTTAGCCATCTTCCCTGTCCCTGCTGAAGAAAAGCAGGCCCAAACCATGATGCTGCCACCACCATGTTTGACAGTGGGGATGGTGTGTTCAGGGTGATGAGCTGTGTTGCTTTTACGCCAAACATATCGTTTTGCATTGTGGCCAAAAAGTTCGATTTTGGTTTCATCTGACCAGAGCACCTTCTTCCACATGTTTGGTGTGTCTCCCAGGTGGCTTGTGGCAAACTTTAAACGAGACTTTTTATGGATATCTTTAAGAAATGGCTTTCTTCTTGCCACTCTTCCATAAAGGCCAGATTTGTGCAGTGCACGACTGATTGTTGTCCTATGCACAGACTCTCCCACCTCAGCTGTAGTTATCTGCAGTTCATCCAGAGTGATCATGGGCCTCTTTGTCTGCATCTCTGATCAGTCTTCTCCTGGTTTGAGATGAAAGTTTGGAGGGACGGCCGGGTCTTGGTAGATTTGCAGTGGTCTGATACTCCTTCCATTTCAATATAATTGCTTGCACAGTGCTCCTTGAGATGTTTAAAGCTTGGGAAATCTTTTTGTATCCAAATCCGGCTTTAAACTTCTCCACAACAGTATCTCGGACCTGCCTGGTGTGTTCCTTTGTCTTCATGGTTCTCTCTGCGCTTTAAACAGAACCCTGACACTATCAAAGAGCAGGTGCATTTATACGGAGACTTGATTACACACAGGTGCATTCTATTTATCATCATCAGTCATTTAGGACAACATTGGATCATTCAAAGATCCTCACTGAACTTCTGGAGTGAGTTTGCTGCACTGAAAGTAAAGGGGCCGAATAATATTGCACGCCCCACTTTTCAGTTTTTTATTTGTTAAAAAAGTTTAAATTATCCAATAAATTTTGTTCCACTTCACGATTGTCTCCCACTTGTTGTTGATTCATGACAAAAAATTAGAATTTTATATCTTTATGTTTGAAGCCTGAAATGTGGCGAAATGTTGAAAGGTTCAAGGGGGCCGAATACTTTCGCAAGGCACTGTACAGATTAATGATGGAGGAGTGTGAGGGAGGAGGAGGAGAGTGGGGGGGAGAGGGAGGAGGAGGAGAGTGGAGGGGGGGGAGGAGGAGGAGGAGTGGCTTGAGAGGGGAATTCAGATTCAGATTCAGATTCAGATTAATTTATTGGCCATGTGCAGTATAAAAACTACATTGGAATACATTTGCAAAAAAAGGTACTCTGTGTGCACCGACAGAATAAAAAGCACGATACAATGTAATATAAAATACACATACACTGAATATAAAATAATAAAAAAAAAAACAGCTGACACTGTGGCACCGATCAACAAAACGATACAAGGGGTAAAAGCAGGAATTAAAGTGCTCTGTTTAGGCACCTAACAGCCTGTGGAAAGAAGCTGTTAGCATAGCGAGATGTCTTGCATCTCAGCGACTGATATCTTCTGCCAGAGGGAAGAAGCTGGAACATGGCTTTCCCAGGGTGGCCAGAAGAGTCATTGATGATTTTAAGAGCTTTGTTTAAAAGTCTGGATTTGTAAAGAACCTCCAGAACAGGAAGCTCACAGCCCACGGTCCTCTTTGCAGAGCGGAGCACCTTGTTTAAAGCTCTCTTTTCTTTATCTGTGATGTTTCCAAACCACACAGATACAGAACAAACAAGTAAACTCTCAATGGTGCAGCGATAAAAGTTAAGCAGAATCTTAGAGTTAGTGGTAAATTCTCGAAGTTTCCGCAAAAAGAAGAGCCGCTGACGTGCTTTCTTAACGACTCGGTCAGTGTTTTTAACCCATTTCAGGTCGTTAGACAGAGTTAAACCCAGGAACTTGCACTCCTCTACGATCTGCACCTGGGAGTTGTCAATAACTACAGAAGTGTGAGAACTGCTACGACTGAAGTCAAAGACAAGTTCACATGTTTTTGCAGTGTTCAGCTGGAGATTGTTTACTTTACTCCACTGAAAAACATGTTCGATCTCTGCTCTATAAGAGGAATCATCATTGTCACTGATGAGACCGATGATGGTGGTGTCATCAGCGTATTTGATGATCAAGTTAGAGTCAGAGGAGGACACACAATCGTGAGTGTACAAAGTAAAGAGCAGAGGACTCAAAATACATCCCTGAGGACAACCAGTGCTCACAGAAGCAACATCTGAAAAACAGTCATTGATTTTTACTCTCTGAGATCTGTCAGTTAAAAAGCTAAAAATCCATTTACACATGGCAACATTCAGACCAAGGGACATTAGTTTTTCAACCAATATGCTTGGGACAAGACAATTAAAAGCAGAGCTATAATCAATGAACAGCATTCTCGCGACAGATTTACTAGTGTCCAAGTGCCCGTAGACAGAGTTCAGAGCAAAGGAGATGGCATCCTCCACACTCCTGTTCTGTCTGTAAGCAAACTGGAGCGGGTCAACACTCACAGGGATCTGGCTCTTAATGAAGTCCAGCACGAGCCGCTCAAAAGTCTTCATAAGAACAGACGTGAGGGCCACAGGGCGGTAGTCATTGAGACATGTCACTGGAGACTTCTTAGGAACTGGAATAATGGTGGACCTTTTAAAGCTCACCGGCACCGTACAGCTCCTGAGTGACAAGTTAAAGATGTCCGTTAAAACAGGGGCAAGTTGCTCGGAGCACAGTTTCAGGACGCGGGGAGGAATGCAGTCCGGGCCTGCGGCTTTCCGAGCTGTGGTCCTGGACAAGACCCGCCGTACTTCCTCCTGAGTCACTGTGAAGGCACCCTGACATTCGGGGAAGACAAAAAATGAGCCAGTGTCCGCTCATTTATTCTAAATTTGACGTCAGTGTTCATCCAAGGTTTTTGGCCGGAGTGTTCTTTGATAACTTTATAGGGGACACAACAGTCAATGCAAAATTGTATGTATCCTGTCACAGCCTCACAGAATTCATCAACATTCTCAGAGTTAAAAACAGACCAGTCTGTGGCATCAAAGCAGCCCTGCAGCTTCATGTTAGCCTCCTCAGACCAGCACTGCACAGTGCGGGAAGTAGGTTTGTGCTGTTTGCTCCTCTGTGTATAAGAAGGAAGAAGGAGAACAGCGGAGTGATCAGACTTCCCAAAAGCAGGTCTGAGACTGGACCTGTAAGCTGCCTTCACGTTACTATAGCAGTGATCCAGGATGTGAGCTCCCCTGGTAGGCTGACTCACATGGTGATAAAAGTTCGGTAATACAGACTTTAAGTTACATTTATTAAAATCACCACCAACTATAATCACAGCATTGGGGTGAGCAGCTTCATGTTTATGCAAAATGTCACTTAAGTCATTCAGTGCAGCTGTACAGTCAGCCCGAGGATGAATATATACAGCACATAAGAAAATCACTGAGAATTCTCGGGGAAGATAGAACGGGCGGCATCTCAAAACCAGACACTCCAGGTTAGCAGAGCATGTTTTGTTTACAATACAACTGTCCATGCACCAGCGCTGGTTAATTAAAAGACACACACCTCCGCCTTTCGATTTCCCCGTGCTCTCCTTCTCTCTGTCCGAGCGGAAAATGGCGAATCCCGGCGGCTGAACAGCTGAGTCCGGGATATTCGGATGCAGCCACGTCTCGCTGAGGCAGTACACTGCGCAGTCCCGAGCCTCGCGCTGGTACTGGATTCGGCTCAGGAGATCATCCGACTTGTTCGGGAGAGACTGAACGTTCGCAAGGTAGATAGGTGGCAGTGGGACCCTGGGGGCGCGACTCCGCACGAGAAGCCCGCCTCGCTTTCCCCGGTGTCTGCGCTTCCTCCGTCGGCGAGAGACACCCGGCTCCGCACGGTGGTGAACACGGGGGAGGCGCCCGGCCTCATCGCCCTGTTCCCAGTCTCTGTCGCGGTCCGCACGCCGCTCTCCTCGAGCTGGGCACTCGTAAAAGCCATCGCACCTCAGAGCAGGCAACACTGGCTCACAGGCCAAGTCCCGTATGAATAAAAGGAAAAGGCTCTAAACAGCAGCAGTTTTGGCATCTTGAGAGAAACACAAAGACTCATACAGTAAGTAAACATTTCTTGACTACTTTTGGATTACCAATGTACAGAACATCTGTTCTACGTCATGGTGCTACGTCCCTTAGGACTTCGCTAGTGGGATATCACTCGTGACCCCC